CTTCAGTAGTAGCGCTACTCATCACAATGGGAAATAGGAACTCTTTGTGAACTGGAGATAAGGAGAAATGCAGCGGCCAGTAGTTGGGAGCTGGAAAAAAAAAAAGTGAATTAATGGTTTAAGGATTGCAGACCCCAGGGAGACTGCTGAGAACAGGCAGAACAGAGGAGAAGGGCATGAGCCAGGCATGACTGTGCAGAGGGGCTCAGTGGGTGCTAACTTCTCTTTGTGACAATTTGACATACATCGGGTGATGCACAGTGTGAAGATTTGGTGCATAACAGTTCTTCCTGGGATGTCTGCACTGCAAATGGAAGGAGATGGGAGTTTTCTGTCATTCTGTGTCAAATTCAAGGAAATAGAAGAGATTAACAAATGGGAGTAAATAAATTGGGAGTTTTATATCAGTTTTAGTATCTGAGCATCTTAAACCCCTGTTCAGGACTGCACAGAGTGGGATGAAAACAAACAAGTCATGGAGGTGTTGTAGAGGAGATCCTTCCTCAGAGCTCCTCAGGTACAGCTTCTCTATAAACAAGTTGGAAGTTGTCAGTGAATGTTATTAGTTGATTGAATAGTATCAGTATTGGATATTACAGTGTTCTGTGGATGTTTGAAAATGACACAGTAGCCAAAAGCTGTCTGTAACTGCAAATGTTATCCATTGCATTGGTACCTGTGTTAGCTGCTGGCAGAGACCAGATTCAGATTCAAAATCCATTCTTAGTGCTGGTGCAGGCTCACTCCTAACAGAGAACATGGTCTGCAGTTTGTAATGCCGGTGGCCAGGTTCCTTCTGAGAGGAAACAGATTTTAAGCCTATTTACTAGGAAGCAAGGCCAAACATACACTGTGTCCCTGGAGAGTGCAGCAGACAGAGAAGTAGCAAGAGATAAAACAAGAGGAAATAATAGCAAGGGGACAACATTGACAGGGAATCTGGTCCAATTCCTCTTATGAGTGCTAAGGAGAGCCAAGGATTTTAAGTTCAGGTCCTTCTGTGAATATAATTCCTATATACATATAGCTCATTTTTAAAGTAACTTACTTGTAATAAATTTTGTGAGCAACAGGCAAAGTAGTGGAATTGTCACTGACACTCCTTCAACACGCAGAGCAGAAGAGTAGTAGAACTGGTAAAGTCGTTTTTCAAGGATGAAAAATGAGATTTTGAAGGAAATGTGTAATCTGCAGATACTTATTTTAAGGCAACATCAGAAGAATTAGAACATTAAAAGAATTAAAACATTAAGCAGATATTTTAGAAGTGCATATTAAAATGTAGTGGGTACCCTCAAAATATTTCATTGTTTCCTGCACTGTTCCTGTTGGGGTTGTTTTTGTTGAAGTACATAATCAAGAAGTGCAAGAAGTGGAAGGATGAGGAGACAAGTGTGTGGTGTGCCCTGCTTGAGCAGATAGTCATGAGAAGAAAAATGGGCTCTCACTGGTTAGTTTACAGTGAATAGGAAGTAATTCTGGTTTCTCAGTTGTGAGCAACTTTCCTTCGCTGTAACTGTTGTTTTAAAGCTAGATTAAGCCCTAGTTTGCCTAAAATAAAAGGGGAGATTTGCTATGGGGGGTGGTTTGGCCTGAGTGTTATGATGATTCAGCCCTAGTAGTTTTCCCACACAGATGTGATAAAGCAGATAAAGACAAATACACCAGAGCTGCAACCGCACTGGCTTCTAGGCAGTAGGGCATGGATGTCTTTATCTGCTTTGATCATCTCCAAAGAGGAGGCTGTTCTGATACTCATTGTCTCCTGCTGATCAGCTTGATTTCCCCTATGTACGACCCCTCCAGCCTGCACATTTTCTGCTAAAAGTCTCCTCATTGGAGATGGCCAAAATAGTCATCTGTGGTATCTGGCTAAAAAGACTTGGGCCTTTGTTTCTGCATGTCTGTCAGGACTGGTGTTTTCAGCTCCCTGCATGCCTTTAAGGCATATGGGACATTGCTAGGGGCTGTAAGGGTATCACCTCCTTTGATGTCTCTTTTTGTCTCTTGTCCTCACCCTCCTCACCTGCTGCTTCATATAATCATGGAATCATGGAATGTCTTGGGTTTGAATGAACCTTAAAGACCATCCAGTTTAATTCCCTTGCCTTTCTCTGCTGAAAGATCCTTTCTCTGCTGCCCAGTGACCTATACTGAATTGAGGCAGGGTTGCTACGCATGGGAGGTACTCAAGGCCAGGTTGGATGGAGTATCCACAGCTTCTCTGGGCAGCCTGTTCTGGTACCTCACCACCCACAAGTAAAGAATTTCTTCCTTGTGTTTAACCTGAACTTCCCCTTTTTTATTTTAAAGCCATTTCTCCTTGTCCTATCACTAACAGACTGAAAAATGTTCGTCCTTCTCATGCTTATAAGCTGCCTTCAAGTACTAGAAGGCCACAATGAGGTCTCCCCGGAGTCTTCTCCAAGCTAAACAAGCCCTACTCACTCAACCTTTCTTCATAAAAGAAGTGCTGCAGCCCTCTGTGGCCCTCCTCTGGACCTGCTTGCCCTGCTTGCCAACCCCTCTTGATGCAGCCCGGGATACTATCAGCTTTCTGGGCTGCAGTGGCACACTGCTGGCTCATGTCCAGCTTTTTGTTCATCAGGACCCCTCAGTCCACAGGGCTGCTCTCAATACATCCTTCTCCCAGTCTGTCCTCATATCTAGGATTGCTTCAACCCCAGTGCAACACTTTGCACTTGGCCTTGTTCATCCTCATTGGGTTCATGTGGGTGTGCTTTTCAAGCCTGTTCAAGTCTCTCTGGATGGTGTTTCCCCCTTCTGTTCTGGCAGCAGCACCACTCAACTTGGTATCATCAGCAAACGTGCTGAGGGTGCACTCCATCCCACGGTCTGTGTCATTGATGGATCTCCTAGGGACAGTACTCATGACCAGCTTCCACCACAGAGCCATTGACCACAACTGTCTGGCTGTGATCATCCAACCAATTCTTTATCCACTGAGTACTTCAGCCTTCAAATCCATAATTCTAGTTTAGAGACACGGGTATGTTATAGGACCATGCCAAAGTCCTTGCACAAGTTTAAGTATCAGAGATATCAGTTGCCCTTCCTTTGTCCACTGATGCCTTCACTTATTCATAGAAGACCATCATATTGATCAGACATGATATGGCCTCGGTGAAGCCATGCTGGCTGTTTAGCATCATCTCCATAGTGGAGATGATGTGTCTTATTATCTTTTCCAGGAAGACCTGCTCCATGACCTTCCCAGGCACAGATGTGAAGCTCACCAGCCTGTAGTTCACCTGGTCTTCCTTTCTCCCTTTCTTAAAAATGGGAGTGGTGTTTCCCTTTTTCCAGCCACCAGAGACTTGACCTGACAGCCGTGACTATATATATATTTTTTTTTTGGTCAGACCTCCTCTGGCTCTTTGTGTCTAATTTTACCTCTCCAAGACAGAGCCATTAGCCTGGGGTGGAAGCTGGCATCAGCCTCTTCTCTCCTGGAGCAAAGCTGCTCAACTGTTCTGGCGCTGTGCTTTCAGAATTCCTTAAAAATAAAAATAAAAATACAAAGGAATGAGTAAATAGAATGGACACACTGATCCAGATAGGTTATGCCAATCTGGTAATGCTGACTATTGGCTTTGCTTTTAAAGATCGATTTTCTTCTGCCCAGTGACCTATTCTGAATTGAGCCCAGTGGTAGAAGTGACATGTGGTGCTTCCTTGTGTGTTTCACAGGTAGCATCTTAGACTTTCAACATTTGGGTAGGTGTCGGTTAATTCTTTTAAGTACCGACTGAAATAAAAAAATCCTTCTATTATTACTCTCTGACGTACTCAGTACATAACCTGTAATTATTTCAAAAAATACTTGTATGTTTAATTGGCATATTCTCTCCTATTTCTTTGCTTTAAGTTTTTAAATAGAGAATCTTTCACCAGGGGAATCTATCTGATTTTTAATGCTGTTATTCTCATTAAGTATCTGTTCTGTGAGGTACTCATTTGTTGCTGAACCAGTTGGTAAAATCTAAGTTTTTTTCTAAAGGATGTGTTTGATCTTATTTTACACTCATGCTTATTTCAACGTTTTTGCGGTTTGTGTTTTTTTTTCCATGTGTGTATGTCTAGAGCAATGTCAATATTGAAATATTAAAATACTGCACGTTCCTCTAGATCTTGTGGCTTACAGCTGCTAAGACTAAAATGCAGTTGCATCCCTAATAGTGGATTTTGGAAAATGACTGTTTCAAGTTCTTACTATGATGGCCTTACCTTCATGTCAGATGGCACTTGGTGGCAGTCACAGGCACAGCCCTGTAGTTGCTTGGCCCTATATTCATCTAGTATTTTTAAACCTTTCTGGAAGTGTTGTAGCATCAGAAATGATAGCAACTGAAATTATTATGGAAGAAATTATACTAATTCAAAGAGCTACATTGGAGCTTTAAAAATGAAAATGAATAGATAAGACATTCTGTAGTTCTCTTTCTAAAGGATTTCATCCTTTTTTAGTACCTCACCGCTGTAATAATGTAATTGGTCTTTTTCTCCCTCTTTCTTATCAGCTTTAGATAGATGTAGACCAATCTTTTATCCGTGCAAGCTCAGTGAAGCCGGAAACAGATATTTTGTTAAGTGTAATTCCCTTTGTTAAATTAATTTCTATCTGCATTGCCCTGTGACCTTTTCATCCACATCACCAACATTTCTGAAAGCTGAAGAGGATCAATATATGAAAGTACAGGTTGTGCCCCTAATCTTAATTTTAAAAGGAAAACATTATCAAATATGTTATCAAACAATGGAAGTATTTTTATTGCTGATTGTTACTTGGGGTACTTTGTTAGGTGTCATTAATTTTAAAAATGGTTTGTTTTCTTGGGAGAACTATGTACCTTTCTGCTAAAAAGGTTTCACTTGGACGTAGTCTTTTTTTTTCCAACTGATTTTGTTATGAAGCACATCTGTAATACCAGTGGCACTATCAGAGATGCCAGGACGTGCTGCAGTGTGGCCCACAGGTCAGCTGCCTCTACAAGGAAGTGCTTCCCCGTTACCATCCAGACCTCTTCCCACTTTTCATTATTCCTTCTGCAGGAACCTTTATTCCTTCTGCAGGAACCTTTGGAATGTGTTTTTCACAATAAACAAACCACAGAGTAGTTGAGTAGAGCATCCACTGAAAAGGCTTAGAAACTTGAGTTCATACAGAGCACAGCTTTGTCTGTGCCTATGCAGGCCAGTTGTGGGGAGCGTGTCATACCAGCATGCTTGGAGAAGTATATTTTGCGTTCTATTTCATGGATTTCTAGGTAGATCAAATTTTCAGCTATTTCTTAGCAGCCTGGGTCTTGTGTTTTTGTGAGAATTTTGGTGTTCCTGCCATCGTGCTGCTGTTGAGTTTGGTGTTACTGCACATGAGCTGCTCCCTTGCCTTGCTAAAGACTGCCTTCATGGTAGGCTTGGGATCTACAACACATTGTACTCTGGGCTCAGATCAAGTTCAGTTTGTACTGTGGGAGCTGCCCTGAGGTGGGTTGGTGAGTTTGCCTGGGAGAGTTTTTGAAAGACAAGGTCTGGGGATTCAGGGAATTTCATAGTTCATACTGGATTTGTTTGATTTTATTGGTATATTTAAATTTTTTTTGTGCATTGATGATATGTTTTTCAGTATTTTCTCACAAAGGAGAACTAAACTGAGGGATTGAAAAGACAAATTAAATGCATTAGTTTTTACTTCAGATGCATCATGTGGAATATGTGGTCTTTAGTCAGAGAGCCTTCTGTAGGCACAGACTGTTGCTGACCCATTGCTGAGACCTACCTGACCCATGGAGCAAAGGGGAGTGTAGGCATTTTCATTGTGAGCAGTGCTTACTGCTGAGGTTCAGCTTTGTCCTCTTAATGTCATATGGTAGTCATGGCAGTGAAAGTGCTCAGTGAATGAGATATTACTCAAGTACAGTCCTTCTGAAAACAAGGAGGAAACCAAGGAGAAACACAAGGGAGGTCACACTGTTGACACAGTGCTGAAGTAGTGGCTGGTGGTAGTGATGTTCCATTGACCGATACAATTTTTCTAATGAAAAAAAAAAAAGTAAGCTTAAATATTTTTTACACCACAAAGTTGATTAGCTAAGTGTTTTTCTCCTCAGACTTTCAGTCAAAAGCTTCTGAAAGATCTACATTTACTTGCGCTTGGTTTGTACCTTTTTCTGTTGTCTGCGAGCAAACAGATGTCACCCTCAGTCTTTATGGATGTTGTAGATTTTCTGAGCATTAATGGATATTTGATGAAACTAAATTTTGAGAGTAGGACCTATGTTAAATATTAAGATTTTGAAAAATAAGGTCAAAGAAACCTACCTGCCTATTTGAATTTCAAATGCTAATACTTACAGGGAAAGTTTGTAGTCAGTCTGCAGATGGAAAATGAGGCTTAGAAGGTGTTAAAGAGTTCAAGGATTGTTAATTTGAAAAGAAATAAGCTTTTGCTAATAGTTCACAAACTGAAGGTATGACTCATTTTTGCCATAAATTGTTTCAATTGCTAGGCACAATGCGGAAGTCCCTTCAGAAAGGGATTCAATGATTCAGATTCCACATCCAACAAATACTAAATGAAGTGCCAGGCCACAAAGTTAAAGATCACTGGATTGGTAAGAAGCAGAAAGGAGCAGTCAGTAAAGAAGCAATAAGCTGGTGCTAGTCACAAATGGCCACTATCTCCATTTGCAGTTCAGTGCAACTGATGTCAAATTCATGATAGAGAGAAGTGCTGGGCCAAAGCCAGGCACCGGTGGCAAGTGTGACGTGGTGGTGTTGCTTGTGTAGATAAACTTTTGCCACAGGAAAGAATGTCCAAATCCACTATTTCTAAAGATAAGTATTTTCTCCTCTGCTTCCATTGTGCTGAAGCAGAGGGATCTGGTAAAATAAGGTCTTGTGAAGCTGGAATGTGCTTTCCTGTGCATGTCTACATGTAAATGAATTTCACAAATACGAATCAAACACGTGGTGAAACTCTGTGGAGACAGGCAAGGAATACCTGGGTCTCCTGAGTCAGACAATGAAAATGAAAGATAGTTTTAAATTCATTTTGCAATTTTAATTTGAACTTGGGTAAAGCTTTCACTTCATGTTATGAGATATTCAGGAAAACTCTAATATCTTCTTAACTTAATAAGCTCTTTTTAATAGTTCTTAATATATTTCTGTGTTATTCCCCAGAATAAATGTTTTTTCTTAGGTATGCTTAATGTATGTTTTCCCTATGCCGATTTGTTTGCAGTTTGAGATTTTGCATTTCTTTCCAATTCAGCCTCATTACTAGCCTCCTGCTGTATAAAGGAGGGATTAATTACTTTTTAATGTTTTCAGAAGATTTTCCCTTCCTTGTTGCTTTTACATTAGCTTATATTATCAGCATTGTCATCAGTTGTCCACATTGTCAGTATGCCAAGAAGTGTTTAATACTAATCTATGAAGTGCGTTTAAAGAAATATCCAGTGAAATGAGCATTTGTAACATTTTCAGTTTAAAATCTTTTTTCTTTTTCCTTTTTTTTCCTCAGTACATGCATCATGAATGAATCTGCCTCCAGCGGAAATGGCCAGGAGTTTGATGTATTTAGTGTTATGGACTGGAAGGATGGCATAGGTACATTGCCAGGAAGTGACCTGAAGGTAAGATTTGCAATTTTTGATAAGCAAAATACAAATTTTATATGCCAGAGGAATGTATTTCACAAGCTGGTGTGTAGGTATCTGCTTCTATGAATAAAACATGAATCTGCAGCTCTGAGTTAAGAGACTGTAGCCTGTTAGCTTTTAGCTCCGGAGTCTCTTGATTCAGTTTCTGGTGCTGGCAAAGACAACAGTTATCCCTGTAGGAAGGCATAAATTAACACTGCCTCACTATACAGACAGAAGTAATCAAATGCACAAAATGCAAGAAGTTTAAAATGTAAGTGTGAATATTCAGTCCATTTAGGGTATTACAGTGCTGTCTAACTAAGAATGCCTGTACTGTCACTGATTTTCACAGTCTCATATTCTTAGTTCTTTTTATTTCTAAAAATATTTTATTTTTTCTGTGTTTTGTCATGTGGATGCTTAGCAAAATGGATAAAGTGAGTGCTTCTGAGACTGGTATAGTTTAGCGATTTGAATGGCATTGGAATAGTACTTTTAATTAAATTTTTCACACTGCATGTATTTACCCAAGTAAATTATAGCAGGGTTTTTTTTTGTTTTTGTTTTAATATTTAATTGCCTTTTTTTTTTTTTTTTGGGGGGGGGGGAGAGGTACATTTTACTACATCTTCAGGTTTCCCTGTCAGCATTAGCTAAAAGTGCAGCTTTGGTGTTAGAGGCTTCTTGCACTTTTTTTTCGTGTTGATTATAGTGGATATTTTCCTATGATGCCGTTTGGACAAACATTGATGATGTTTTCTAGAAGTCTGTTTTTTGAACCTCACTAATTTTTAGTTTCACAAATTGTTTTTAAAGTGTGTTTTTAAAGGCACTTTACATTCCTTGATGCCTAATACAATTTCTTGTGTTTGAAAGGCTAAAAATGTGTGAAATTCAGGATACATATGTTGCAGGCGTTATTGTTTTTTTTAATGTTTTTATTTGTTTTTAAAACACAGAATTGTAGACGAGAATCACAGATTAATTTTCTTTGGAAAAGACCTGAGGACTACCTCATCTTGACCCCTCACTCTGACCAAGATTAGGCTATTCCAGGCCTTTTCCAGGGCAGATTTGACTATTGTCAAGGTTGGAGATTCCACCATCTCTGGGCTACTTGTCCAAGTATTTCACTGCCCTTGTGGTGTTTGTTTGTTTGTTTGTTTATTTCCTTTTAGTGATACTTAATTGCAGGTTCTTTCAGCTTCTCCTTACCTGTCATCTGTTGCAGCATCTATGGGATTTGCTCCCATATCATAGAATCAGAGAAATCAGAAATGGAAAAGACCTACAAGATCATCCAGCCCAACCATCCACCTATCACCAATAGTTTTCACTAAACCGTGTCCCTCAACACAACATCTAAATGTTCCTTAAACATGTTGATGTTTTTCTGGTACTGGACGTGGCAGACTGCTCTCTGCTCTCACCAGAGCTGTGTAGAGGTGAATAACCAGATGCTTTGACCTGTAGGCTACCTTCTTGCTGAAACAGCCCTGGATGCTTCTGGCTTTCATTGCTGCCACAATGCGTAGCTGTCTTGTGTTCAGCTTGCCTGAGGGACCCACAGGCCTTTTTCTGCAAAGCTGCTTTCATACAGCCTGCCTTGGGCTTTTGTGCTGCACCTCAGGTGCAGGCCTTTCATTCACTTCTGTAGTACTTCATGAGTTCTTATTAGTCCATTCTTTCAGCATGTAGAGCTTTTCTGAACAGCAGCCCAGCACTCCAGTGTATCAACCCCTCTCTCCAATTTGATGATTTGCTTTTGCCGCCTATACACATACATACTTTTCTTGTTGTCTGTGCTAGTTTGTTCTCCACCTGAGCTTTCAGTTTCCAAATGCCATCATTGTATGCTTGGGCAGTGTCTCTGTATATCTTCTCTATTTCTCTTCAGTGTTACCTTCTACATATTTCCTCCCTTTGCATTTAAACTAAGTCAGAAGTTCTCAGTTCTTTCCTTCTGGCCTTCATCCACGTTTGCCTAACTTCTTGTGCATTGGTATGCATCTTGTGGTGTGAAAAGGTTGACCCAGGAGATATCTAAGTCTCCTGAGCCTGTTTACCCTTTAGAACTGTCTCCTATATGATCCGGCCAAGTAAATCTCTGAGCCAGCCAATATCTGCTCTCCTGAAATTCAGTGCTGTTATTTCAGGGTTCATTTTGGTCCCTTCAGACTTCACTGTCTCATGGTCACTGCTTTGAATGCTGGCATCAGCCTCCACATCCCTGACAAGTTCTGTATTTTTTAAATAATGTCAGAATTTTAAAATTCCTTACTTTTTAATAAGCAAAGTTGTGTGAAAGGTAAACATAATACAGAAATGTTTGAGGAAGGAACACAAAAGGTGAAAGTCAAGAAAATACAATTATATCTTACTATTCACCAGTACTTGCTTTGTTCTTTTTTCCCTGTGTTAAAAGAAACAAAACAAGCACAAGTTGGCTCATTAATTAGTAGAGGAATAGGAAAGTTTTCATATGAAGCAAACAAGAAAGCTGGGAGATGTACTTGAGCATGATTTCTTGAAATTATGCAAGATACTACATTCTGAAGGAAAGTCTGGGCTCCATTTTAAGGTTTTTCTTACGGCCAACTGATTGTTAGACACAAACCAATAATTGATTTTTGGATAGAAGCTCTTTCTTTTGTCCAGGAATTGAAAAAAGCACTGTGAGAAGTGAGGTGGTAATGTACACAGAATAATGAAAGATTATTCTTCAGAGAGAACAGGGCAGGTAGCTATTTTTTTTTAATAACGTAAGATGAAGGGGATACTGAAAGAAATCAAAGTGGAACCATTCTAAAAGTGAGTGAAGGAAAAATATTTTCTAACAAGGCAGAATTACCCTGAGGAACTAAGTGGACCAGAGAACATCAAGACTCAGCGAAAGGCTAGACATTTATGTAGATAAGAAAAGCTAGGGGTGTTAGAAAAGTCAGGATTTTAATCTTCTGAGACAACTGTAACAGCTCATCTTTTGGGATTGCTTCAAATAATGACGGTTAAAAGAGTGACTAATCCCATGAAGCTGTAAATGTGATCATAAAAAAATACGTTATGCTCTTTGTGGAATTCACAGAATAGCATTGTTTCAATTGTTTTTCCTGAACTGATAAAAGACTATTTTAGTACTGTGTTCTGGACCTCAAGAAAGTGGCCTTGTGTAGCAGTTGCTTCTTGTAAACTTGCATGTGTCTTCCAGAAATTACAGTAACCTCATTCCATTAAAGATATCAAATGATTGCCATTTATTTAGACTGAAATACAATTGAAAAATTCAGTGAGAACATATAGTGGCAGTGTGTACAAATCCAAATATTGTGTCTTTCTATATTGGTAAGAGATTGGAGTTCTTGTTTTTTTTATGTAATAAATAATATGCAATAGCTGAACTGTACAGTGAATTATATGTTGCTTACATCTAGTATATTTTTCTCTTTATAAAATATTGGAAAAAAATGTTGTAGGTTAAACTTACATCAATTTTTGAAATGCTGCTTTTTAATATAGAGCTACTTGAACTCGTTTTTAGTCACAGGGCATTTACCTGTCGTAATTGCTTGCACAAGGAAGTTTCATACTTACTTTTCCATACAGATATTTTAAGAGAGCTCTTTCTTTGCGTGTCATATTAACACCCAACCTCATCAATTGAAATTATCAGGCAAGTGTAGCTGATGTAGCTGTAGTAAGAACAACCTTCTTTTATAGAACCACTTCAGTTTTGTGAATACAGGTTCTTCTGTGAATGAAACGAGGTAAAAACCCTTTCAATAATGCCAGTGCTTAAAACATTTACAAATCATTTTTCTCAATAGTTTCTAAACTTTGTTCATATTTAACTTTTCTAATGAAGAACAACCAGATATAGGTAATAATTTATTTTTTTCTTTTTATTACAAAATCCTGTGGCCAGTTTCATGCTAACTGAACTTCATGGAGAAATGCTGCACCAGGGGGCAGTCAGTTCCCAGCTTAATGAACATAAGAGAGCTGCATCAGACACCAAGCCTCTATTCTCAACTAGTCCATGGCCTCTTACCTCTTTTAAAATTCATAAAATGCTAGAAATGTTTTCTTCCTGTTATTTTCTGCAGTATTAGTTGTTAGATTTTTGTCAGCTGTAATTGGAGGAATCTATACGAACACGTTCTCATGACAAACTTCCTTAAAACTTCTTAGTAAAAACAGTCTTAAAATAGTTAATATTTCTTGAACGTTACTTTGAGCATGTGACAGATAAATAGTGAGTGTTTGTGGAAAATGCTAGAATTTCAAATTATTCAAGAAAAAGAGAATTAAGATTGTATAACATGATGCACAGAGGACCAAGAACAAAAATTTTAGCATTAGATGTTAGGAGTTCTTTCAAGATGTAAAAATAAACCAGAAAACTTGAATTCCGGTAGTGTTTAAAATAGTTCACAAATCACAAAATTCCTTCATGTGGCAGATTAAGTAATACATGCTCATCTGAAAAATGTCAGTGCTTACCAGTTACTCTGCATGGTGTGAATGTGAAATGCATTTTTTTCCTAAAGTCTGAGTGCCGAGTGCAGGCAGTAACACCATCACTTCAAGATTTAAATGTGCTCATTAAATTGGAAAAGCTGTAATAATTTATAATTACATCCTACTGTACTGACAGAAGTTTATGAAGTACTTTGTAACGAGTTTGTTCTGCAGTGCTTGTGTTTTGAAAGTGAACTGCTACAAGCTGCATGGAAAGAATTTTGGTCATTGATTCCAGCTTGCAAATTGTGATTGAACTGAAAAAAAGACAATAATAAATTTGATGGTGAAGAAATTAACCTGTAAATAGATCTGAGCAGCTAGTCTCATAGAAAACTGGCTATAACAGCAGAACAGGAATGGCAGAATTCTGGCCAGCTAAGCAACACTGCTGGGTATTTTGAGCTGCAAGGTAAAGAGGGTGGCCATGACTCAGAGTGCTGTGTTTTGGACTGTGCAGACAGCCCAAAGCA